CTTTGAACTACTAGTTGTTTTTCTGCTGTTCAGTGGAATTTATGTTGTGGCTTTGATTTTGACACTTAACAATACTACAGAATCAAACAAATGGGCAATCTAAAGGCAAAAGAAAAGTATAACCTGTGGGTATTCATTTCATGACCAACGTGGTGTCCCATGTGATTGTCTCCTCTCTTTCTACTCTTCCCCCAGCCTCCCCCTCCACCCCTTCACTCTAGTTGAATTAAAAGTTTAAATTAATTGTGTTTATCTTACATAAACTGCTCATCTTCAGGATTTTCTGGTATTTTGTGATTTTCCTTTAGCACTCCAGACTCCACAACTTCTATTGCTATGAAAGGTGCAAAGGCCCTTAAGGTGTGCCTTTTCTTCAGAGATAAATAGAGGCTTCTTTTCTTTAATGAAACAGTCCAACAGTGCACATCTACAGAGACATGTCCTAACTTGAGGCCAACTCTTAAGCCACTATAGCAGTAACCAAGAAGAATCTTAGCAATTCAGAAGATGCAGTCATAGGAATGAGTCCTTTAACCAGTAATGTCTGTAAGATCAGAACCTTACTAATTCCAAACCCCCACAATTACATTTATCAGCTTCTAATTACTATACAAGAGCTGTCAGAGTGGGATTGCTGCATTTGTCCTCCCTCACAGCTGGAGTGTGAGAAAAGTCATGCCTCCACACTGAAGCAATATAACTCGTCTCTTGTTTTGGGCTGTATCTTATATGTCAAATCTGGGGCCAGAAAGAATCTGCTGCACTGTTCTACTGCCAGAAGCACAAAGCAGAATCACACATTAAAAAAGTACCCAGTCAGAAGGGGCATTCCTTGACCAGCAATCAAATGTAGAGGCAGCATCCATTCCTGTGATGCCAAAGGGTACCTTTCACATCATGCATGTGCATAAATTGTGTAACTTTGAGCTCCAGATGCTGCATACAAATGATATTACTGGGCACATGAAGTGTCCTGTGCCAACAGATTGAAAATATTGTCCATGATAAGTGTCTTCATCAATTATGCATTTTTATCACAGTAAAATTGCAGGTAAAATGATCTTCTCCTACCGTTCATTTTTATGCTGTAGCATACTTTCTATTCATTATGGAAGATATTTTCAGCCATTAATCCAATGCCTTGGAACCTTGCTGAATGCCAATAGACTTGCCAGCAAACTATCCTCTGGGCAAAAAATATATTTCCATTCCAGAAAACAGCCTCCTAGAAGCTTTCTTCTTTCCTATAAGAAAACTTCATGGAAGAAAGAGAGACAATTTTCAGGACCAGCTTCCAGACCACTCAGGAATCTACTCATCTTAGGAACCACTCAGGAATCTACTGAGAAACCACAATGATGTTGCTGAGTAACTGCAGTTAGTCACTAAATATAACTAACTGAATGTAACTAAACCAGTTATATTATTTTACCAGGAATAAATTAGGCAGTTTTCTTATGTTTACTTCAGCCATTTCTGGGATCTTTTTCTCATTCATTTTTTTCTTCAAAATCTCTGAAAAGGAGACATCTTTACATACAAGAAGGCAGCATAAGTATTTTTCCTTATGTCTTGTTTTCTGTTAACATCACATAGTTTATAATTAGCAATGGAGATTTCCCCTTATTTTCTTTTGTAACAGACACTGTTCATGGTTGTGCCAACAGATTAATGTGGAGACTACAGAACAAATATTATAAAAGTATCATTTAGGGAATGCCAAGAAGCAAAATGGTGCAAGAGTTGTTCAGACAGCCATTTTGATTATGGATTTATAGTCCATAGGCAGCAGTTCCTACACTGCAGCCTTTCTATCTCTTAAACAGCGTGTAGGTTGTATCAGCACTTTAAAGAAATTTTGCATATTGACTGCAACAACAGATTGGTAACAGTACTTATCACTGTGGCACCTACACAAAATTTAGATATAAACTCTGAGAAGTGAAAAGGAGATCAAGAAAAATACTTCAAACTATATTAATGGCTTTTGTGCTAGTACAGCACAGTACATGTTCCAAAAATGTAGTATGTTCCACTTGAATATGAGGAAAAACTTCGTTTCTGTGAGGGTGGCTCTGGAATCTTCTTCAATGGATATTCAAGAAATATCCTGGGCAATGTGCTCTAGGATGATCCTCTTTGACCAAGGAGGTTGGATCAAACACTGTGTTGAACTTCACCCATTCTGTGAAAATCAGAGGACTATGAAAATCACCACCTGACATGCTGCATACAGAATGACACAGACTTTATTTGGCCACCCAGATGTTCCATTACTCTGCTTAAGAAATTCTCTACATCCTTCTCCTCTTTAGGATGTGTTTGTCCCACAGTGAAAATTCAGGAAAAGCACACACACCAAAAAATGTATTACATTTAATGTTGCTTAAAGAAAGGCAACATCGATTTTTAATTTAATGAAACTGCCAGATCAGAGAAGCAAAGTTTGTAATAAGGCAGCAGATTTCTCCAGAAACAAATGTCCTAAAACCAGTGCGAGAAGAAATATGAGAGTAAATAAAGCTCCGGGAGGTACCTCTAATTGGGATTCTGAGCAAAAGTGTCCAAGTCTTGCTGACAAAAGAAGAAAAAAGAAGCAGTTCCTTTGAAGTCTTCCTGAATTTTCTAATCTAGGGAAAGTTCATTGCCGCCATTTCCAGTTTTTGCAACATTGGAAACCTTAATGAAGACAAGGTTGTAGCAGGGGCAGTTGGTTTAGTACTGTGTCAAGTACATTTGCTCAGGCCAATGGTATTAAAGACTGGCAGCCACACAAGTACTGGCAATGGCAGACAGCAGCTGGGGTGGTGCAAACTTAGGAAGCCTCTGAAAGCAGCAGAGACCAAGTGTCTCCTGTTGTACCCGTAAGTCTTTTACAGTATAGTTACTGTTTTTAGGCATGCATGGGAAGATGCTCTATTATTTTCTTGAGAAACTGGCACATATTCTGCTATCACTCTTCATGCTTAGTGATGTTAGAGCATCTGCAGAAAATATCATTTTTAGAGTCTGCTCTGCATATAGAAATAATCTAGAGGTAAAACCCTAACCCAGTGGTGCTGTGGTAATTGTAGCATCTGCTCTATCAAATTAAAAAATGCAGTGATGGATTTTCCTGAAAAAGAAAAATGATACTCCATCACCTCCTCTTTGAAAGAGTCAAAAGGCTTTTTAATGCTGTTTTTGAATGTGGAGCAAGAGATACTAAAAATAATTCATCAGCTTTATTTAAATTATGCAGTGTAATACATAAAACATGAAGATTACAACATCAAGCAATATAGCTGGAACAAATCAAAACTGCTTGTACATATGCATTATAATTCCTTCTTTAATTACTGGTCCCTAACCTCTTTCAGTGGATGCAGAATGAACATGTGGAATTAGGCACAGACACCTAATAGTGCCTGCTCTCTATTCAATGCCAACTCATTGCTTCTTTCTGCTTACATAAATTTCCTTTAAGAGCAACCTCCTATGAGCTGTATGGTTGCTTTTACTTATGAAGCACTTAGATTTAAGAAAAAATATTAATTGGTGTCAAATAGGACTTGATTTTTGACGTTCCACATTATCAAATATCTAAAATACATGGTGAATTGCCTGTTAACTTAATTTTCACTAGCAGACTACCCTAAATGAAACCCCAGCATCTTACGATTGGCATTGTGAAAACACATGCCTCAACCTCTTCACAAAAAAATCAGATTAAAGCTATGTTACATGACATCACACAGAGATTTTTGAGAAAGCAAACTTGGTATTTTACAATTTTTTCAAAATTCTGTAAGGAACAGTCAGCAACCTCAGTCATGATCATGTTCCCTGACTTCTAATTTTCCTAGAAATTACACAGGGATTACATATAAAATGACTCATTTTACTACACAGCTGTGCTCCATAGTAGAAAAATCTATTCTATGCACTGTAAAAAAGGCATGACCTGGTACACATGAAGGTTAGGCAAGAACTCTGTGGTTAACTTTAGGTTATAATGCAGGAAAGGGGTGAACTTGTACAGGCAACATATATGACGTGCTGGATTTTGCAAAATCAGTGTGACTGCACACAATGTAAATAATTTTCTGTTTCCATAGCACTCCCAGGGCCTGCAGCCTGTGCAGCACAGCAGTTGCCATGAGTTTTTCATATCCAGGCTTTTTAGCAGTCAGAATCCACAGACACATCCAAACACCATTAGAAAATGCAGGTTGTAAGGAGGCCTCTCACTTAACCTCCAGCTCAACACCAAGGCCAGCTGCGTGGTCAGTCCAGGTTGCTCAGGACTGTATCTGCTTGGGAGTGGAAATCCCTGTGGAACCCACTCCCACGGCCCAGCTGTCCGCAGCATGAGTAACTTTTTCCTTACGCCCTGCTCGATGCTCTCATTTCACCTCACTCCCGGTGTCCCTCAGGAGGACAGGGAAGCCCCTGGCCCCTGTTCTCGGCCAGGTCCCCACGCGTGCTGATCCTATCCCAGTCCGACCCTGCCCTTCCCGCACGGGAGGGTCGCTGCGGCCCCGCTCCCGGGCGATCCCGCGGGGCTCCCGGACGTGTCCGTCCCGACCGCGCGGGGCCGGCTGGCGGCGGCACCTGCCGGGGGCTGCGGAGAGCCGGGGGGGTCAGCGCCTCCCCTCCGCGCCCGCGGTGCCGCAGGAGCTCATTCCGCTCGGAGGCACCGCGGGACAGCGGCAGCGTGCCGCCCTGCCCGGACTCGCCCGGGGCCATGGCTCGCCGGCGGCGCTGCCGGACAGTGTCTCTCCGGTGCGAGGCCGGCGCTGCGGCGACGCCCCCGAACCCGTCCCGGCCCCGGGCTAGAAGCGCAGCCCCGACGGGCAGCGGCCGCTGGAAACGGCCCAGGAAGGGCGGGCGGGGGCGCTGCGCTCCCGCGGAGATTGACGGCTGCCCCAGCCAATGGCGGCGCGGGTAGCGCGGGGGCGGGGCCAGGGCGGCGCGGCCGGGAAGGGACGGGGCGGGGCGCGGGGGCGGGCGGGGCGCGGATTGGCCGGGGGGCGGGGCCGGCGGGGTTTTCTCCCGGGCTGGGCTGACGGCCGCGGCCGGGAACTTCGGGAGCGTGCGGGCGCCGGTGGCCGTGCGAGCGGCAGGTACTGGTGGGAACGGTCCCGAGCGAGCGCGGCTTACGCCGGCAATGGGGAGCGGGGGATGGCGGGGCGGAGGGGGTCGGGCAGCCACAGCGCTGCGCTGGGGGCCGCTTTGTCGCGTATCCGTCGCCGTTTTCACTGCTCCGCTCCTCTTGTTGTGGGATGCGGAGGCTGCGGGCGGGGCCGGCCCGGCCGATCGGGTAGAGCGGCCCCCTCCCTCCCTTCTTCCTTCCCTTCTTCTGTGCCGGCCCCGAGTGGCGGCGGGGCTGGCGGGTGGGGGCTGTCAGCGCGGCGGCCGGCAGGGGGCGGCAGCGGCCCCCAGGACGCGCGTCCGGGGGTGGCGGGGGCGAGCGGCCCCGAGCCGCAGCCTGTCCGCCCCGGGCGGGCAGCGGGGCGGCTGGCGGGGCCGGCTCCTCCCTCCCTTTTCCCGCAGCCTTGGGCGCTGGTCCCGGCGAGCCGAGCCGTGCGGGGCCGCGCCTCGCCGCTCGGTTCCAAGCCTCCCTCGCGGGGCTGCCGGCGCGGGCAGTGCCGCGCCCGCCGCCTCCGGCCGCGGCTCGGCGCACCCGGCCGGCGCTGCGCGGGTCCCGCGGTCCCTGCCGTGCCCGCAGCTGCCGCGCTCCCGGCTCGCCCGCCTCTCATCTGGGGCCACAAGGAGGGGGTGCTTTTCCCGACAAAATCTGTCCCGCTGGCTGTTGGTGCCTTTCCCGCACCCGTCGCGTGAATGCTGCGGGAAGAGAAGCGGTTGGTTTCCTAATTCCCGTCCTCCCGGAGCACCACTCCTCTCCTCCTGATAGCTTCATCTGTTTGCATCTTGGGCTGTGCCTTTCTTTCGTCTGGAAGTTAGCAACTGCAGAAAAATTAGCTAAATAGGCCCCCGCACTGAGGCTGTTTGCCAAGAATCGGGTAGGGAGTGAAATCAGGGAAGACTTCACATCCCTAATTTCCCTTCCCTTACGGATTAGGGTAAAAATAAGTGTAGAATCCTCTTACATGGTTTGTATCTACTGTTTTAAAATAAGGCTTCCTTTCAAGATGTGACGACTCAACCTCTGAGCATTATGCACTGAGATCTTTAAAAAAAGTTTTTTATTTATAAATTTAGGTCCAAAGTTCTTTTCCTATTATTGTTCTTTGTAAGGCTTTGATTACAATATTCTGAAGTCTGAATACACTCAAAACAGCTGTTAACAGTGTGGTAAAATTTTTTTAGTGTGCAGCGTTCTTCCCCAGGCAAAGATCCCACTGAGTTGAACTTAATCCCTTTTGATGTTAATAGTGCTGTCCACACATGTGTGTGGCTAGAAGGATTGTTGATTGACGTGAAGGGAGTTCTTTTGAAGGTTTGTCAGTGTAATGATTATGATTTCCACCTTCCAAAAAAAAAAAAATCACTGCCAGAGAACAAGTAATAGCCAGCTAAAGTAAACTTAAGGTGCTTTGATACCAGTAATAACTAGCAAGCAGTTGATTTGCTGTGTTTTTTACTTCTTGTAGAGCTCTCCAAGACTTTATTTAAATGACATATTCTATATTTGCTTTAAAGTACATATATTCATTTTCTTAGCTTTATGGCCTTCTTTTCTGTCTGCTGTCATGGGTACTTCCAGAGTGTTAGCGAAATGCAACAAGTACGGCTCTACAGAATTTAGCCTTCAGCAAATTCTCATTAACTTGTGTGTGTCCAGTCCTGCAGAGGTTGAAGTGAGGAAATGCTTCTTTGCGAGACTGTCTAAAAGAAAAGCTATGTCCTTTAGCGTCATGCGTTGAAGAGCAGAAAAACGGAGTCCCTAAGTTACAGCGCCAACCAGTTACAGAACAGAAGCGGTTTGGTGGCACCCTGGGTTACGCAGCAGCAGCCCTGGAAGGGTATTCAGCAGAAGCGCTCTGCTTCAGCTGCTGCTCTCCTCCCTTACAAGTTTCCATTTCTGCTGGCCATGCTGCTTTCTGTCTGCTCTTGACCTCTTGGTGGGAAGTTGAGCTGCCTTCTTTTGACAAAACTGAAACATTCTGCTGAGTTTCATTACCTTTGGGCTTAGCAAATTACTTTCCCTTCAGTGTTTTCTGAGGGTATTGATCTCAAAAATTTCTGCCAACAGTTTGTGCCTGTGGTAGATGAGCTTGCAGTGTAAAAATATAATTTAAATGGTCTAGACAAGACTTCCATAAATATTCATATTCTCTTTGCGCATTTGTTGATAGTGGAGAAGAGGGGGAGTTCAAACTTCTTATAACATCCAGGGTTGTGTGAAATAAACTTCCAGGCTTCATTCATGTGGAAATAGACCTTTTGTTCCACTTCTACTTGGATAATTTTCCAGTAACTGCAGTCAATTAATACATTTTTTTTAGATTCAAGGGCCAACACAGGTAGCATTCTGAAGCTAGTTTGTCTTCCTGAATTTCTAATGGGGATTCAGTGTCAGCACTGAGGAGCTCTCATTTAGAGAAGGTAACCTGAAGAATAACTGTATTACTTCTAGTAGCCAGTATGATTGGAATCAGTTTGTGAGTGTGGATCTAGGCAGAATATTCCTTTTTCATGGGACCAGCTCCCACATTGTGCTTTAAAGATGAAGAATGTGGATCATAGGTGGAGAATAGAAAAGTGTTCTGGGAAGTACAGACATGTAGAGGAGGTATTTTGCGTTGTGATAAATAATTTGGACATACATTCTATTTAAGATGATGTTCAAAAAAATCAAACTAGGTTTATAAGCAATGTTTAAAATATATAACAAGGTAAAAAATTATGTGGTTGTGGGGTTTCTTTTTGAACTGGCATTTCCTTTTGGCCTTAATCTGGGAAGTATGTTTTAATACAAAAGATTGATCTATTTTAGGATTAAAAAGAAAGAGAACAAAATAAAATGATGGTAGGTATACTTGTTACATGGATGAGAGCTATGAAAGTATTCACTGGCAGAGAAAAAGGATCTAAATTGTTTATGTTTTTAATAGTTGTGCCTGTAATGTGTAGCTCTACTCTAATTTTTGAAAGACGAAGTTTTCTGCATTTTAGCTTACTGTGTGTAAGTTTCAGTAGGTTAAAAGTCATTTTACTAAAGATTGTAGGTTGTAATATATTTGCCACTAGATATTTCTAAAGCAAGGTTGAATACTTTCCTGAGGAAGATGTACTAAGTCGAACTGTGGTTTCATTCTGGAGTTGGCCTTAAATAGGTGGAAGTGAGGAGAGGGAAGGTAGGCTGTCTTCCTCATTGCAAGCAAAATTAACCCAAGAAAAGCAGTGTTGGAAAACTCTTCATTGTGTACTCGCACAATGGGTGGACACAGGAAGGAGGATGGGAGCAAGAAAAGGGGATGTGGAAGCATCCGATTGTTGTAATCTTGGCTATACAAGAAGTCAAACTGCATTGTAAGGGGTTATTTCTGGCCTTCTATTTTGAAAGCAGACTACTTTAAAGTTTAAAGGGTGTTAGCTTTTAAAATAAACTGCCACACTTCTATTTTGTTAAGAGACAAAAATCAAAGTGCAAGTTAAATGATTTGGTGCAGGGTTTCTTTCTCTTTGTCAGGGTGTTAACATTTTTCAAAATGTTTATTATTTTATCACTGTTCAATTTCACTTATCTGGTTTTCTAATTTATTTGGTGGGTTAATTTTTTGCTGTTAGGTGACTCTTAATTATTCCCTTACAGGCAAGCAAGATACTGTGCTGTTATCCCATTGTCATAGTTGATTTCACTCTACAAATCAAGATTCCTACTGAAGTGAAAGGTAATTTGTGGTTTATTTTTTTAGATCAGAAGGTTCATTGTATGAATTTACTGAATAGGCAGCCTTTTGTGTTCTGTTTTAGGTTCCCATTTACTTTAGCTATTGATGTGATAAATTTACATGGCCTGAGTTGTCAGTTTTGTGATAGTATATAGAAAAGAACATCTAGATGATACAGTAAATGTTTTGACTTCTACTTAAGAACTCTGTGGTGTGCACTCTTCCATGAAGGTAATTTTGCTGGTAAAAATTTCTTCCATAGACTTCACCTTGTCTTTGAGAACTTTGTAAAGATTTACAGACTAAGTGAAGGCCATATCAACAGAATATTGATAAATTACTATTGGTAATCCAAAAATAGCTGTTTTGTTTGGCTAGTGAAATAAGGAAGGTATGTTCCATGTATCCTATGAGATTATGGACTTGCAGGTGGGACAACTCAGCAAGAATGCAGGTTTAATTATTTTAATAGACTTGGGGTAAAAGGTTTTTTCAACTTGCTGTAGTGTCTGATGTCTTAGAGGCACTACACAAACATTGTATTACAACTCTGGGTTGGTGTTGTAAAAGAGAATGTCGGATGCCAACCCTTTGCTGTGCACATCACAGCTGCCTTTGATGGCATAATGTTTTCATGACTGCACTAAAGTATGGGATGCTTTTGAGGCCTGACTTCAGTGAAGCTGTCCTCTTGTGTGAAAACTGATGTCTCTGCAGATTCTCAGAAGCAGGTAGTAGTAGTTTGCTTGTGTTTCTTATATTGAATTTTTTTTTTCTCAAGGAGATAAGGTACTACTACTGTTCATCTCTGGAGTGTTTTTATTAATAGTAGTATGGCTCATCAGAGAGTTCTTGTAAGGAATTGCAGGAAGAGCCTCTCTTTTAAAACTGGTGACTTGTCAGTGTCTAGGGGGTTAACTGGGTGTTTTACTTGATATTATATCTACCATAGGACACATATTTGTCTGTATCCTGGTTTCTCTTCCCTGTATTCTTTCTGAAGGGTGTGATAAAGCCTGTCTTTTAGCTTACCTTGCTATTACTAAGTCACGCAGCCTATGTGCTCTGTAAGATCATTTTTAGAAGATCTTGCCATTGAGTAGTAAAATAGGGTTAGCTAAGGACAGTTTAAAGAGAACTGTGGATTGCCATGGTCCTCCAGGCTTGAATCTTCCCTTTTACTTCTGACATTGTCTATGTGGTTTTCTGTTTGCTAAGCAGTAGCTCTGGAAAACTGTTTAATAGGAAAAGACACTCAGTAACCAGAAAATAAAAATAGACTCAAAAAAAAACCCCAAAAAACACCACAACAGAAAACCAAAACAACCCCACAGACTCTCTGAAAGATCAGTTTCATCTTAAATTGCTTGCACTGATGACAAAGCAGAGTTTAACCAAATATTTATTGTTGAAATTACTCTCTAACTAGTAGTGTTGTACAGCTAAATGTAACACCAGATTTTACTGTAATTTGCTGCTATCCCCTTACTGTGGGTAGAGAAGTATAGACTATAACTGTGGTATTCTTTATAGTGGCCTGGATAAGAATTTGACTACAACATTTTAAGAACACAGAATGTTATTAAGAGTATGGAAAGCTTCAGTATGTATTTAAAATGCATGATGTGATGTGCTGTCTTACCACAATGGAAAATTAGAACAGCTTTTTCTAATTTGAAATACTCAATTATCCTGTATATGGGACTTAAAATATATATTCTTAATTCAAGTTTTTGAATTCATACTGGGCAGATCCTTGAATTCATACTGATTCAGCATGTATCCTCCTACTTCTGAAAATCAAACAAAAATTAAAATTTGGTGATAAAAATGTGCTTGGGTTTCACATTTGTTGAAACACTTTTATTGCTTCCAGTTACTCACAAAAGCAGGGATTCATCAATTAAAATATCTCAGAATATACTTAGTATGTCCTACAAACTTCTTTGAACATTTCAGTTTTGGATCTGAAACTTTCGATTTCCAAACAGTGTTTTGTACTTTGTAGACATTATTTGTAAACAATCTTATTTGCTGTTTCCTCAGCTGAAAGAAGTTGTTTTATCCCATTTGGCTTCTCCTTTTGAAGTTGTACTTAAAAGCTCTGTTTAAATAATACTTTAACTGCTGCTGTTTCATCATCAAGCAATTAAAGAAGTATGCCCCGTATATCATTGATCTTCTCTTCAAGGACTGAATCCTTTTTTCTTGTATGGCTTTTTTGAGACTTTTCCTGGTAGAGTATTTCATTATTTGACCACAAGTCTGAAATAAACCTAGTGGCTGGGAGGGAAGGAGGTGGAGGGAGGGTGGACAGAGTAGGGAACCTACAACCAGAACCCAAGAATGCTGTAGCATTAATTTTCAAGTCCATGTGTTGTCTTATGGCTGCCTTGTCCCCTCTGTAGAAAACACTTATCAAAGATTATAATATATTGTGGTTAGAGGCAGTTGCTTGAAACAAGGCTGGGATTGCTACATATCAGTGTTACTGCTCCTTCTTTACAAACCCCAGTTGTAAGTGATTTTAGTATTAAACCTGTTTTGGACCTCTAATTATCTCATTAGTTAACTTAAACTATTGGGTATTTGGCCTCACTTTCCCAGTGTGCTTTCTTGACTCTGTGTGTGCTTAAGAATATATTGCAGAGAGCAATTAATGCTTAATGAAACTTGTGCTCTCACAGATTTTTTTTTTTTGTTCCCACCCCTCCCTGCTACCCTTGTATTTGCTTATATTGAGACCATTGTATTTCCAAGCATGTTGAATATTTTTTTATTCTGAAGGGTAAAACATGTTTCTGAAGGCTGATATTTCATAGTCTCCAGACTTTTTACTATTTTCAATTAGTAAGGTGAAACATGTAGCATATTAAAACATTATAGGTTTTTGTCTCTTCTGGATTTAGTCCTAGTGTTCAGAAAGTAAGGATGCTATTTAAGTGCCATGGCATAAATGCAGAATAATGACTTGGTGTTGAGGCTGAATATTTGAGGGTTTTTTGGGGAAAAGCTTACACTGTCACCAGCACATTGTTCTTGTACTGTAGAAGAAATTAAACTATGTAAAAGTGAAGTTAGGAATGCTGCAACCCTGTGTTGTAGGTGAGAAAATTCTTGGACGAAAGGCGCCTTTTCCATAGAAGTGCTCTGTAAAATGAACTCTGTTGTGAGAGTTCTATGTTTAAAAACTTAATCCAAAACAAAAATGAAATTGTGGTACAGAACACGATAAGAAGTGAGTGTTCCAACTTTGGCCACATCACCATGCCACTCCCCCCATCTTGTTTTAAAAAACGACACCTATAACATTGCTGCCCCCTTCATGTTCCCTCATATGCTCATTGGTTTTAGCAAATTTAGTAAAAGGTACATGATTCTACATTCTGCTTTCATCCTTTGACCATTACAAGTTCAGGAATCCAAACAGAATATTTGCAGTCTTAACTAGACACCAGGTATTAAATGTGAGACAGTTACCACTGAAGGAGGAGTTTTTACAATTTTAGCCCTGATATGAAAGGATGACTAGAAGCTGCTTTAGTTCTTGTCTCTTGTGTATTCTGGACTTCTGTTCCTTTTGTTTCAAAAAAGTATAATGAAGCTCTATAGAGACACCCACACATTAACTGCAGCATACTTTGCCTGAGCTGATTTGTTTGAAACATCTAAGAAATCTAAGTCTATATCACGAGGAATCATGAGATTTGATATACTGGACTAAGAATTAAGAATTTCATTTATTGCTTGCAATTGGATTTTTAAAGGCTGGTGTGAGAAAGGTAAAATATGTTCCCAGTATATTGGGAGCAAGTTTGCTTCAACCATTTTCTTGCCTTGATAAAAGTGCAGCTTTTTTGCATTTTTCAGATATTTTGCTCAATTTCCCTGATTTTTGATTAAAAAAATTCTTAAATTGTATTCCAAGGCAACACCTAGTATGAAACTGGTTGGCTTACCATAAAATTACTCAGTGGTGGTACATCATGTCTTGGATAAAGGGTGAGACGTGCTGTACATAGCATGTCAACACTTTGGAATGGGACCAGATGAAAACAGCTTTTATTGGGTGAACTGTTTAGTCACTGTCATGAGCCCTGATTTTCTGTCTTGAAATAACTTTTCTCCATAAACTGTTGAATGATGTGGGAAGATTAAATTGCCTGGTGTAGTCACTTGCAATAAAAGAGGCAAAAAAGCTAGTATGTTGTCCACATGTTAAGCCTATCGAAGTCAAAATCAACCTGCTTCATTCTTTTACTGCTGAATGACCTTTGCTTGTTTGTAAAGGATACTCAATTAGGAAGAAGTCTGTGGATCCTTCCTGTTCAGAAGCTCACAAGGGTCTTTTTATTTTACTCATATTTAAAACAAGTCAGATTTTCTTTAATGATTTTGGTTAAATGTTTTAAGACTTGAACTAGTTAAGCTACAGAGATTTTTCTGCAAGTGTTATTTTTAAAATTCTGAGTGGGTTTTCATGTTATATTATTCCCAAGGTTAACAACAGTACATGACTCTTGCTAGAAGGTTCAGTATGTAAGCAGTTAAACTAACAGCTTAAGACACAACAAATTATTTTATGTTCTGTGACTATTTTTAGATCTTTGGTTATGTCAAGAAGGTGAAAGCATAAGTACTTATTTTGAGAAAAATGTGGTTTTCCACTGCTAGTTAATTTTGGGTGTTAGATGATTTTTAAAATTTACCTGAAACAAAGCATTAGACAGGCATGTAAAAAAAAAAAAAGTAACTCGGGCAATATGTTTTTATGTGTGCCCTGGTAAACTGATCATGAAGGTAGCAACTCAAATTGAAAGAAAATAAAGTTAATATTATCAGAGATCTTATTTAATATAACTTTATTAATTGGTTAATTAAAATTAATTAAAAGTGGTTTCTGTAGCTTGTCAAATCTTGCTTGTTCTTTCATTGTACTCCTGATTTTCAGTAAAAAATGGAAGAAAGATGATCCCTGTGTTTTTGAGAAACAAAGTTGG